GGCAGCAGAGAGGATGTGTCCAGCCTGGCATGGGCCTCAGATTTATAGTCTAGAAGTTTCTCTGCATTTATGGGACAGAGATGAAAAGATTCCTTTGTTCTCTATTTCTCACCAACACTCTCTCCACCCTGAAAGGACCCGTCCGCTCCCGTTCCTTCTCTTTTTTAGCCCCATCTTGCAGGGCAATCTTACTTTGCAACTGGACAGGCTTTGGGTCGCACAAGGGGGAAAAAAAGGGAGTAAGTGTGGAGAAATTAGAAAGAAGGTGCTGTGTTTGTCAGAGCCACTCGGGGCCTTCGCAAAATGATGTCAGATCAGAGCAACAGGGACCTGGGGGATCCCCTCGGAGATCGATTCTGGCTCAGCCCCAAAAAAGGTAAGCTAATATTAAAACGGTGCCGGACGCTAAAGGCAAAAGCTACAAGTAATCTAGTCCCGGCACCGGTCAAATTTAAGCTCCTGTCACTAAGGGGTGTGGCCACATTCGTTCGAGCATGTCTCATTTCGGTGGTGTGTAATTTCGGGGGGCATGACAGGCTCATTGTGCGCGATGCTTAAGGCTTTCAGACCTCCTAAAAACGAGTTTGATGCATCTGTATGCAGAATCAGATCCCTGGCTGCCGATTCAGCTGAGCTGGCATAATGCTGCCGCAGCATTAGAGAATAAGGGAGGCGAGGGCTGGTTCAAATTTTCTGTCCAGATCTCGCTGCTGGAACTTGTTTACAACACAAAGCTTTTTTTTTTTCTTGTTTTTTTTTTTTTAATACTCACTGGCTGTTGGAACTCAGCAGCATGTTCTGATTTCTATTACTGTTGGTCAGAATGTTTGCCATATTCAGGGGAAGTGGGGTCTTTTTTTCTTGAAGCGAGTGGATTAAATTAAGACATAAAAGTTATATATGTTCTGTGCACCAGGTCTTGTGAGCAGTAACTTTTTTTTCTTTTCTTTTTTTTTGAGTTACTGTTTCTGCTGTCAATCTGTCCAACTCTGCTTCCTCCTGGGTGGGCTGCTCTCCAAGAGGGTGTTGCATGGTCGAATGCATCAGGAAGCCTCCACAGACGGAACAGGCGGCCGGTTAGGGAGACGACCAGAGTGCCAAACCTTTTTTTTTTGGACACCCCAGCTTATTTTTGGTCAGCCAGGAGAGTGGCGGGCGTCATTATCTGTGACTTCATGTCTTTCCACTCTGGAAAAGGAGAAGTTCATGAGATCCCAGGCTTGTGGATGCGAGAACGCAAGAGTCATTTTTACCTTGAGCACACCACCGTTTACAGATTTTTCCACCAGTAGTGACGCGCACGCCGGTTAAATGAAAGCCAAAGGGTGGGTTTTTTTCAGCGTTTGATTCTATTTTTGACGTCAGAACAGCATCACATGAATAAAAATACACTTTTGGGGCTTAACCTCTTCCAAAAAAAGATTTTGTATGTCGCCATCACACACATTTACGAAGACTTTGGTGTTGGGAAAAGGTAAAGTCGGCAGAAAGCTTCTTTTGAAAAGTTCGACATAAACACAGGAACGATTACGCAACGAGAAAGTGTGGTTTGGCAAAATGGCAAGAAGGGCTGCCAGTGTCTTGATGGATCTCAGAACACTGAGCAGCCGAGCAGAGCCGGTCTCACATTTCTCACATTATTTACCCCTTTATATTGCATCCCAGTCATGCAGGAGCTGGTTATTTATTTTTGCTGTAGAGTGAGAAAAGCCAAAGACACCTCTCTGATCCCCTCACAAAAAGTCTTTTTTTGTTTCCAGTCACCATGCGGTTGCCATATTCTGTGGCTTTACAGCATAAATCGCAATGGTCTGTTTTTATTTTCTATTTTCTAAATACCCCGTTCATAGCAGACTCAAAAGATAAGTCACTAAAAGTGAAACCAGCCTTATCATCCTATTTATACTATTTATCCTGGTAAAGGACCAATTGCTATTATAGGTTAAACCCTGACTGTTCTAGTATTTCAAAGACTTCCTGTTGCCCAGCAATTATCACTTTTACCAAGGCTCACCCTCTGCTGATAGCATTCAAGGTCAGAGTGAGGGTTATACGAGGCCGGGATCTTTTCATTATTTAGGTCACAGCTATAAATAGCCCCCAATCACAAGCCTCCCCCCAAGAGGATTTTATAGACAGCGAAGGACCCCACGGTTTCTGTCAAGCCCGTTTATGGATGCTGCTAGTTAGCATAACGTGCCCTACACCCCGTTGTCCATTTAACACCATAATGCATCTGTTCACAGCCAGTCTCAGATTAGTTGCAATAGCAGGATCAACAAAGTCGTAATGTGATGATTTTGACTGTTGCTGATAGGTTTTGGTCCGGACAAAGCTTCATTACACGTTCCCTACATGAGGGTTTTGGTGTAGTTTTTGTCTTAGCGGTCACAAACAATGTGTCACTTCACACTTAGGGATGTTATTCCTTTGATAAATACATTTACTTTGCCTATAAATGGTTTAGGGGACAGTTCTATCCTCCAAATTAAGCAGCTGCCAGCAACCTCTAACTTTAGCAGATTCCCCGGGTCAGGTGTTGGAGCTCTAACCTGCATCAGCTGTGTCAAGGGCCACAGCTGTGTCCGACTGGGGGGGGGGTCACTGACCACAGCACGCCCCGCTTAGAGACGAGCTCCTCAAATTAGAAAAAGGCTTTTCGTCCTGATAAAAAGGGAACGCCCAGCTGATAGCCTTCAGGTAGCTGAAAAAGCACATGCCATGGTTTGCCATGTATGTTTTAGAGCAAGGATCTTGAGTGTTGAAGTTAAGTTGTGTCTTGGCCACTAGATAATCAAGTGGTGTGGAACTGGTGATCTTCTTGGAGTGCACTTGTGTAGCACCATTAAACCATCAAGCAGCATGTCTTACGCCCTGGGCCAGTCGCAAGCTTGCATCAGCAAGTGGTGACAAGTCTATTTTGGGACATCTGCAGGGGCGACAAAATACTTGGATGAGTGGATCTGTGGATCTGTCGTTCAAAGA